GGGGACATGAACTTGAATTTATGAACTTTTTAGTAATAAAAAAGATTAAGAGAGGAGTTTGTCGTGTGAAAATAACATGTGCTAGCATTGTTTTCATTGACAACTATACAATATACCATCACAATCCTCTAAAACAATAGAAATTTGAATTTTTCATTTTTGGCCGGAAAAACAGAGAAATCTTTACAACGATTTATCCAATACTGAGATTGCCCTACAAAAACATATTAAAAAAACTTTATTATGACCACACTCCGTATTGACACGTGAACCCAATGTGTCTGTTAACGAAACACGTTGTATCCTCCTTTTTTTGAGGATGAGAATGCTCATGTCTTTGGTAGGGTTCGAACCCACAACTGTCATGGGATTTAAAGGGTTTAGCCACCATCCCACAAACTTTGTTAAAATGGGGAGATATATATTTATTTGGGAAAAGGTTTCTATACTTCCCCTACAGCATAGAAGATCTATGCTTCCCCTACCATCAAGCCCTTCAATTTTGATCAAGTGAGTCACTCACTGTTTGATCTTAGATCCAACATCTCCGAGTATTTTATTTTTAATTTTTTAATACAAATTTTAGGAGTATGAAATTTGGTACTTGCCATCTTCTCATTGGGATGCACCTATAAAAATATTAAAAATAATTTTGATAAAATATAATGACCAAAATACCCCTTAAAGTTTTCATCGGTATTTTGGTCATTTTATTTTAATGGGAATATTTTTTAAAATATTTTTTAAAAATGAGAGTTTAATAGAGGTTTGGACGCCCAAAATTTGGTGTCAAAATATTTTATATAAAAAAATTAAAAACAAAATAGTATAGAGATGTGATATTGTGATTGAACAATCTTAGCCCTCCATTCAGAATGAACAGTTGGATAAGGGGAAGCATATAAGTTCTGTGTCATATAGGAAGCATAGAAAGCTTGCCATTAGTTTGTTTGGTAAAAAGTGTACAACAATACATTTATTACTATATTTGTCATTCCACACACAATGGATTTTAGTAGTTTTAGTCAGCTACTTGGCAATGCATTTATAAGATAAAGCTCAACGTGAATGTATTTAAGATACTGTACACTTGTCAAATAAAAAAGGCTGACCTTTTAATAAATAATTAATAGTATAAGGGGATTAATAAAGATCTTTCTTATATAAATTTATTAGGAAGTGGAACAAATATCTAAATATTAATGCATGATGTTTAAAAAGTCCCTCATAAAATGTTGTATCAAACACGACTATGCATATATCTAATAAATAAGATTTTAACTGTGGTTCATACTTTAAAATTTAAAATATATTTTGTTGGGTTCAAACTTGTATAATAGATATTTGGAAATATAAATGGTTCTATAATACAAATGTGAAAGATGTTCAACATATATTTTACAAAATATTATTTTTAAATAAAATGATAGTATACATTTTAATTTGCTTATAAATAATAAATTTTTATTTTCATATCCTGATTTTAAATTTTAAATTTATTATTATTTGTATATAATAATATGAGAAAATTACAAAAACCCCAAAAAATAGACCTTTAAGATCACCTCCCCCAACTTAACTTTTTTTTTTTTTTTTTTGCAACTTTTGACCCAAAACTATATTTTATAGCAAATACTTCCCAAGTAAAAAAGTCATATTTTTTAACAAAAATACTTTCGTTAGTACATGATGGCATTACATCATCGTTGGACGCACAATGTTTTGGGTTTATGTGGCCTTTAAAGGCCTTATGAGTGTTTGTAAAATGAAATGATATAATGGAACATGAACTCAATGGGAGTATGGTCCCTCGTGGATCATACTAAGCAAACGATGTTTGTTGATACCAGACTGTGTTTGACGGTCTAGACAGTCGGTTGGGAAAATCCATATTGCCTGGGCGTAAAGAACAATCGATAAGGGTTCTAATGGGTTAGCCTTTGATAAGATCGGAGAATATACCCGGATGAGTGAGCCGAAAGACTGTGTTACCCTTGTGTGCGATGGTAGCCTACAGAAACGGGGGCCAAAGCCTCATCCATGTGCCATCACATGACATGCATATTGATAAATCATTCAGAAAAGTCAGAAATCCACATTTTAGGGTGAAACGTATGTATGTGCGAGAGATACCCCTATGCACCATAAGAGCTGTGGTTGCATCAGGTCTAAGTGACATTGACTCGTCTTTAGGGGAGGACCTGAAATTCACAGATTGAGATTGCGACCCCTTAGCTCATTGGTCGGACTTTGGTGACCTGCTAATGAGTTCATGCTTGGACTGTGGGTATTGAAAAATACTGGGTCGGTCTAATAAAATAAGTGTGGTCTATAATCCACAATTGAAAGTGGAGTGCCCCATAATTGTTGATTCTTAAACGATATGGATCTTTTTCCCATCAAATTAATTTAATTTCATTTGTTTTATGATGGAATTATTTTAGGATTATTATTTGAATTTTATAAACCCCTAGATATTTATTTATATATTTTTATTTATAAAATTAAATATATTGATTTTACAATGGTTTAAGTATTCAAATAATATTCTAAAATCTTTTTTATTAAGTTTAAATATATAAAAATTTCATGGGAGCCCATTGTGCACACATGGGCTTGCCATATTTCTAGAAGTTGGGCCCCATGAGTGCCTCCCTTGGGTGGCACGTACCACCCTTATTCTCTTTTCTATTTTTTTTGTGATATGGCTTGTAGCCATATGGTTGGAAGATATTGACTTAATATATCTTTGAAAGATTTTGTGGAAATATTGAGTAGAATTGTGTTATTTTTTGGTATGTACAATATTTTGATTAGATTTAATTTATTTAATTTCTATTGATAGGAAAATGGTTTAGGAAAGAAGGATAATGGTTCATGCATCTTCCATAATGTTGATGGCCCACATATAGAATGGATGACTCAAATCTCTCACTCCACAAGTCACCCAAGATCAAATGATTCATATTCAATCTCACAAGAAGAGGCAAGCCAAAGAAAACCCTAAAAAATCCTAATCATATTCAAAGCTTATAAAAATGGATTTCTCTATAAAAAAACCTTTATACCTTATATTTATCTCTTGTACTTAATTCCCATCTTTCTCTCTCATATCCCACAAAGGAGCACACCCCACTTAGAATTTTTCTCTCTCTCTTAAGAAAAACTTATCTCTTTTATGAAAGCCAAGGGGGGCACACACTACTTTCTCCTCTTTGATCGCTCTCTCCCACATTGTGAAAGCCCCACTTAGAATTTCTCTTTCTCTCTTAAGAAAAACTTTTCTCTCTCATGAAAGCCAAAAGGGGGCACACACCACTTCCTCATCTTTGATCTCTCTCTCCTCCATTATGAAATAACCTAAGGATTTAGGTTATGGAGTTGTTTTCTCTCTTATCTCTCAACTATGGATTTATGGCTAAGGGTTTAGCATAAAGATAATCCATCTCTCTCAAACTAAGTTACTAAGAGAATTCACCTAGGGTTTGAATTTGTGATCAAAGGAGTTCATATTCTATTAGTGTGGCTTGGTCTAAACTTGATTTCTCAGTTGAGATTGAAAGTTGATCATTGATCCAGCACCATTTGATGGTAGTGACTCGGGTGTGGAGTGTAATATGCCCGGTTGAGGTAATCTCTAACACTCTTCTTTTTGTTTCTTGTAATCTTATCTTTTATTCTCAATTATAGTGCATAGTTGTTTCAATGGTATGAAGTTGTTAAGATCTTGGTATTATTGTTATGTTGATTTTATTTTGAAATTTATCTTATTGTAATAAAGACCACTTATAAGTTATCTTTTGCCAAATGAAAGGGGTGGAGAAAAAAAAAAAAAAAAAAAGTATTCCGCTATAAAAGTAACCAAAGACGATTCAACACATATTTATGCCAAATCAATACCATGTCACAAGAACAATAGGTTCATTGCTGGACCGCGGAATACAAGTGCTGGACTGCGGCAAACAAGTATTGGACTGCAGCAAACAAGTGGCAGACCGTGGTAAACAAGTGTTGGACCGACGACACGTATTGCAGGAGCAAATTTTGACTTACCGGACCGAGATCACGATACAATGTTTCTGGACCATGCTAAATAACTACCAAACCGACGATGCATACTGTCGGAGCGCAATTTCACTAGTCGGGTGTGGGAGAGTTGTGAGTTTTCTGGTTGCATTTTCGTCCAATAAAATATGACTTTTTGATTTAGAAGGTATTTACTATAAAATATAGTTTTGGGATAAAAATTAAAAAAAAAAAAATGTGGTGAGGGGTGGTCGTCTAAAAAGCTTATTTTTTAAGGGTTTTTGTAATTTTGCCTAATATTTATGTACAATGGTTGTATCGATATTTTATGCTAGCACTAAACACTCGATAGAGATGCTGCTACGACAGCCGGTTGGTGTCCGTGTAACGCGTCCTTGTTGAGGGGGCAGTGGCACCATCTAGTTTTTGCTCCAAAACAGAACCGGCTTTCAAACAAGAGACCGCCATTAGAGTTACATTATCTGCAGAGCTTTGCTGCTAAAAAATGTCGAGGTTTTGGAGGCCAGGCTCCGAAAGGCCTCAGCCGTCTTCTCTCTCTGTCCTTGAAGATGATGAACCTGGGTTTCTTCCTTTCTCGACCCTCGCTTCAAACTCGAGGTGGCCATCTCCTCTCCGACATCTTTGGTCTCCAAAACCTAATCTGTTATTCGAAGCTCATCTCTCTGTCTCTCATCCGCCCTTTTCAAATTTTCTCTCTGAAACTCTTTCTCACTCCTAATCCGCACGTTCTCTCTCTCTCTCTCAATCCATGCTTTCCAAACCTCCCCCTTTTTCTTTATCTTAATCCTCGCATTGCAGAACCCCTTCTTTCTCGTGCCCCCTGTTCCACGCTTTCTATAATGTATTTTTTAACTCACTCACTCACTCACTCTCTCTCTGTCACTCTCACACTCTGGCAGCTATGGATATGGTGGGTTGGAGAGGCACAGGCAGAGACTCCCCGTGTTCAAGTATAGGACTGCTATTCTGTATCTTTTGGAGACCCATGCCACTACCATCATTGTTGGCGAGACTGGGAGTGGCAAAACCACTCAAATCCCCCAGGTTCATCCAGCTCTACTCTTCACTCGTAATTATGTGTTTTTCAACGGCTGAATTTTACTCTTTATTATGGCTGGAGAGTGTTCCATGCACCCTATATGAATTGTTCTTAAGTAATCAAAATTTAAATTGGTATTGATGGGGTTATCTGCAATGAGATTCTATGAACAAATGACTTTATAGAATAATACATGCATTGTTTCTTTGAGTGTTCATCAAACATTCCAACTTGGTCTTTTATGTGTTTTCATGCTGTGATTTGGTTTTTATTTTCAGATGACCTTTGCTCAGTGAATTTTTCCGGGGAAAAAAAAAGGAGGACTTCATGATTTGTATCGTCATGGTAGCAAGTATTTCAATTAAATGGGATGATTAGAAGCATTGTTTTAAAAGTCGCTGAGTCTGACAGAGACTTGGGTGAGTGACTAGGAGTGAGTGAAAACCTTGGGAACTGTCTCTGGTTCCCATTTATGTTTTTAAAACTTGGTCAAGTTCGCATTGGACTCAGCAGAGTCTGACTTTCTGACTTGGGCATGGCCCATCCCGGTCCCAGGTCCTAGTCCGCATATAAAAGCTCTAATTAGAAGTGATGGAAACCAACATGTTGCTGCGAAATTGCAAGAGAATCATTGAGTCACAGTAAACACCTGCATTGTTTGGGGGAAGTGGTTAATTCCATAACATGTAACCCTAGAGAGAGAATTTTATGGCTCAAGAAGCTGATTTCGTCATAAGCTTGCCCAACTATAAAATGAAAACAACCTGTCCATTGGATTGGTTCTCCTGGTCTATGCAAATGGTCACCAGTTCATCTCAACTGAAAGATAAATACTTGTTATCCCATTCCAGTTGGTGGTCTTGATTGCTGGCAGCCTGGAAATGTCAGCATTTATGATCTATCTATGACAAACTCCGTAAAACAAAAACCTTTCTCCATTTTGATATGAGACCACAAAAGACACGTTGTGCTCCAAAACACCATTACTTGAATGTCTTCTTGGGTCAAATCCGAGATGTGCTTAGAAACAGAAAACTTTGTTTGCATTCCTGCCTGGGCGCCATTATTGAAAAAATATATACTTTTACTTCTTTCTGTCTTGTTATTTTTCCTATTAATGCTACTCCCCATGCTTCGGCTTTCATTAGATGGCATTTATGTGTACCATGTCCATGTCCTTAGAGTCAGTCCCGGTAACCAAGCCATGTAGTTATTGAAATTTAATGTTATTTCTGCTAGCTTGTAGGAGCACATTTTATTATCATCTTGCTAGCTGAATTTTGGGTTGTTTGTGCTTTTGGCTGGCTCTGTTATATGGTTGCTTGATACCTGGTACTAAGCTTTGTTGTTGTACGAGGTACAAGCATGTGCTGGACACAACTTGGCGGGGTGTTTCATTAAGTAGATTGGTCCTCATGTTTGGTGAGTGTATAGTGATATTGCCCCTTTTACATGTTGTAGTACTGAGAGAGTCAAGTTTTTGTTTTATGCATCTCTCATGCAATGTATGTCATGCTTGACTGCAGTTACTTTGATGTGGATTCCTTTACTTTGTTGGCTTCAATAGTAGAGAAAATATTCAACCTGAGCCCTTGATTTTGAATCTTGGCATTCTGAGAGATAAGTTTGCACATATTTACTTTGTTCTAGTTATTCTTTTGGTTTATGACTATCAGTGCTATGTGCTTTGGTGCTTGTATCAATGGTTTGAGTTCAAGATCTTGTCAATTGGACATCATAAAAATTGGTGCACATCATGACACGAACCTCAGTTGAGGCAGATCTCCCATAACTTAAAGAACATGTGTTGGGCATTTATATACTAAAAGCACCAACTACAAGTGAGACATACACGGGTGTGAGATTCATGCCTTGGGGTGCATGCATTTGGTGGCATGTACATTTCTCTCACATGATAAAATGCTGTAGATACTATGATTGTGCTATGGACTTAGTGTTTTAAAAAAAATTACTGCTAGTTTTGTTGACTGCTATGGAAAGATCACAATTTCCCCTTCCCTTGAATAGAGACTTTTTGTTCGCAAGATCACAGCCTTAAGTGTTCTCCATTCTATTTGAAGTGCCTTATTGCCCTGTGTGACGAGCTGCCCTTGTGAAAGATCACTGAAATGAAGAACCCTTTGGGAATGAATATATATATATATAGAAATTTGCATCAAGTTGAACTTTGAAAGGCCTAGCTATGTGCAATTGACTGTATATTAATATACGAGTCGTGTATTATGTTGAAGCATTTACTTTCTATAGGTATAGTTGGGCTCGTTGAGGTAGGGACTCGTGCATCTAAAAATGTGATATTTCTCTCTTAGCTTGTGCAACTTTTGGTCAATAATTCACATGCTTTCTTTGTTTAAGATTTTTACATGTTCGTTTTGTTTCTGTATCAGTATCTCAAGGAAGCTGGCTGGGCAGATGGTGGGCGGGTAGTAGTTTGTACCCAACCCAGAAGATTGGCAGTTCAGGTGTTTATTAGGATGAAGATTTGACAGTTTATACTTAGAACGGTTCTTGTTTTTCTTCTTAATTGTGTGCTAGCGGTACTTGATTGCATTTATGAATGGTTGAAACTTGGATTTCTTTTAGTAATTATTTACTACTTAGGGATATCGACGAATATTTCTTGAAATATATAATGGAGATACAATCATTCGTTTTTAGCAAATTCAAAACACAAGTTTTAGAAGGAGTGATTGGAAATCAAGGAAAGACTTTGGAGAACATTTTCATAGTCTTTTTAGTATTTTTAAGCCCTTATGCCTTCTGGTTTACTTAGTAATATGCATGCTAACCAAACATGGCATTAGTTTAGAATGGTGCTAGTTATATAGAAATATCATTAATTTTCCAAAAACATTGTTGTAGAATACCAACTACTCTTTCATGGTGCGGTTCACATGAAATGTGATTAATATTAGTATTTAGCATAGTTATGGTTGTAGAATACCAACCGCTGCACATGGTCAGCCCACCTAAGTCTACTTTCCCTCATCTTATCGTCTATTGAAGCCACACCTAAGCATATATATTTATTATGGATTCTATCCTTTCTTGTCTTGCCACTCATCCATCTCATCTCAGCTAAGCGCATCCTATGGATATGTTGTTTCTTGACTGCCCAACACTCTGTCTGATAAAGCATGGCTGGTCTTATAACTGTCTTATAGAACTTCCCCTCCATCCATACAAGTCTTACAACTCATGATAGATGTGTAATGTATTAAAAAAGGTCCAACAACCACTTTTGACACATTAAAAAAAATCCCAATTAGTTTCCTTGGCTGGGCAAAGATCAGATCAAGCGGGTCATATCACAAGAGAAGGGATTCATCGTCCTTTGTATAGAAAACGATACCCGGATTTGAACCGGGAAAAAGGGCTTTGCAGTCTCACATGTTACCACTCAGCTATGCAGTTGGTTTGTCGTCCTCCTCATTGTAGTCCCCCTAAAATCAATGGCATTTTGTCAGAACACATTCTGTCTTTTGACTTCCCCAATCCTCTCTAATATCTTCACTTCATTTTTCCTCACCATAGCAAGGAACAAAAAAGGTAGAAATAGCAATGTCTAGCAATGTCAAACCAAGTAACAATCTCCTAAGTAGCAGCATCATAACATCATAATCCAATCTCCTGTAATTGATTCTCCTAGTGCAAGGCTTAAATCAATGGCTCCAATCATGATTGCTAATGCTACTATTTTATATTAGGCTAGAGTAGTGTAGGAAAAATCGAATCGGAACGCTTAATCAAACATGGGCCCGGAAGCAATTCAACCGGCCTAACGGTCCCGGGTGGTAAAAAAAGTGTTAAAAAAAATACACCTTTCAATTAGAAGTAGACCCTAGAAAAGGATGGTGGCAACTATCGCAATGGCGGTCGGGAAGATCTATAAATGGGTAATTCCGACCTCTTCCACTACATCTTTAGTGGTCCCCTGAAATGATTGAGAAAATGACTACTCTCTATCCATCCCCTTTCGTAGGTCGAGAAAGCGTCGTGTCCAAAGGTAGAGAAAGCTACAAAAAATATAAATTTTTTTTAATAAAATATGGAAATTATATTTAAATTTTTAATAAAATATGAAAATTGTATTAAAGCATATGATTAAACAAGTAACATCGAAATGAAGTTGAAAATTAATAAAAAAAATGAATTTTAAAGAATCGAGTTGTGCCGATCCGTATTTTTGAAATTTTCCAAAAAAGATGGAAAAATGGAAAAATGGAAAAATAAATTTTAATGGCCAAAAAAATTTCCTATTTTTCCCATAATGATGAAAAGCATTAAAAAATACATTACAAACAATATCTTATTTTTTGAGATTTTATATAATATTTTTTTAAAAAATACCCGGTCGGTCACCAAAACCAGAACCGGCCATCGGTTGGAACGGACAATTTTTCCAACAATTGGCTAGAGTATTTTGTTTAACATCATAAACTTGATGCACATAAACCAAAGGAAATTCATTGAAAAAAAACCGTAGTTGCTAGGGTTTGACTCCCCATCTTAAATTTTGAGATCTGAGTTTTCCTCGATCCACACAAACCGAAGGAAATTCACAAAAAAATAACATGTAGTTATTAGGGTTTTTTGTCCCTACCTGATTTTTAGGAATATAGGTTTTCAAAGGCATATCCGAATGCCCCTTGCTTTGAAATCATGTTAAAAAACAACACTCTAGTTGGTTGGGAATCAAAAAGTTTAAGGAAGATTGGAGAGAGATAGAAAGTGATGAGAGAGATTCACATGAGAAAGAGGGGAAGAAAAGATAGTCACATGGTGTCTCCTTGACCCCCATGCCCCACTGTTATGTACTGTAACCAATAGTAAAAAAAATAAAATTACAAAAATACCGTTCAAGTAAGGGAGATGACAAAACTGTCCACAGGGACTTAAATACAAAAAACATAGATAAAAAACTTAATTATTCACAACAAGACCCTAAAGAAAGATAAAGAGAATGGGCACATTGAAAGTGGATGATCTGAACTAGCATGGTTTATATAGTTTAAAAATTTTCTTTTGCGATGCCTGCTAGAACACTTGCATAAATCCAAATATTATAATTGAAACTCAAATAAATAAAAAGGAAACAAAGCATGGATTCTCACTTGCTGTCACTTTCAAAACTCTTCACTACCTAATCAAGAATACATCAAATGAGATTTGTAGCAAGAAAACATAAAACAAGACAATGTGCCAAAAGATTACCTCTAATGAACGTTGCACATCCCACACTGGGTCGCCTCCATCGATGGTGAACAAGATCTAGGTCTTTCTTGAATCTCAGCAAATGAGAAGTAATGCCAAACCCTTACTTGGTAGTATAAAGAGCACACATACAAGATGGGGCCTCTCTTCTTCTCACACCATGTGGGGCATGCCCCTTCTATGTTTCACAAACCCTAGGGGCGTACCCCTTCTTTCTTTCTTAGAGACTATGTGAGAGAGAGAGAGAAGAGTAAGAGAGAGAAAGAGAGGGTGGCATACCATCTATGAGGAAGAAAGAGAGAGAGCTCAAGTCTTAGGTTATGGTTAGATGACCCCCATATGTGATATGATATAGAAGCAAGGCTAGGGTTAGGGTTTGGCCGTGCTTATAAGATTCCATCTAGACCATTGATCAAAAGTGACCTGTAGGATGAGATATTTTAACCATACATTCCATAGATCATCCATTAGGATCTAATGGAAGGTGCTGAAACTTTATCCCTCATCTTCTTTGACCTAATCCCATTGAATATTTAGTGTAGAGAAAGTATGTTGTATATTTTCTTTTATTTTCATTGAATCTCTACTCATTCCTTTTTGAAAATCAAGTAGCCTCTTTTACAAAAGCTTCCATTTCTATTTCAAAACAAATAATTAGGCTTATTACACAAGCCACAATTTTAGGAAGGTGAGAAAAGTGGGATGTCCACCTATGGATGCCTAGTGGGCCCTCACACCCCCATCAAGGTAGGCCTAAAATGGTAGGTCCTTATGTATTATGGGCCCCCATAAGGTAAAATATTTTATAAATAAATAAAATGATTTTTAGAAATACTTAGATATTTTATTTTCCTTTTGGAATATTTAAATACATGAAAATTCAGTTTTAGCTTATTTAAAATCAATTTTGATGAATTAACATATGTAGAGACTTCAAAAAATTTATTTTAATATTCTAAAAATCATTTAAAACAAAATTAATTAGTTCTAAATTAATTTGATGGGAATCATATCCAACTTTATTGAGAACAAATGTGAAAACACTGAGGCACTTCTGCCACTCCATATTTACCAGTGACTATGTCCCACACACTCACTTTCTTAAACTGACCCAGTAGTTCCCATGACCGACAGTCCACCACAGAGGTTCATGATTGGACTATTAAAGCCAGTCAATAGGTGATGAGAATACAATCCTAGTCTATGGACTACAGGATCTCCCTAGGTACAAGCCTAGGTCACATAGTCCTGTGCACACTCATTGCATTTGGTGCATGGGGGTATCTCTCACACATGTATATGCAACACCCTCAATGGTGTCTACTTCCCAATACGGCTAATATATTTATATGCCGTGTGATGGTCATGATGGGGATTTGGTCCTTGTCCCTTCAGGCCTACAAAATCACACATAAGGGTCACAAAGTCCTGTGGCCAACTACCTGGGCATCTCTCTGACCTCATCAAGGGGTAACTCTGCAAACCCTTCTCGGTTGTGCGATATGCCCATGTATCATAGGGTTTTAGAACTCAACTTGGTCTAGATCATCAAGCCTAGCGTGAGTCATGACATTAGTATTGCCAACTTCTGCCCTTCTGGACCATACTCGCATTGGAGTTCATTCTTCCACTATTATGAAATTTCAATACATGATCTCGTAAGGCCTTTAAATGGCCACAAAACCCAACACACATGATGCACTATAGGAATGATTTTTCCCCCCCTCCTTTTTTCCCCTTCTCTTTTTTTTTTCTCCCATGATTTTAAAGCTATGTGAAGGGAAAGAGGAAGATGAAGAAAAAGAAGTGGAAGGGAATAAAATCAAGAAGATGTAGGAAGAGAAAGAAGATAAAATCTAGAATTATGTAAAGGGAAGGAGGAACTTAGATTTATGTGAAAGAAAAGAGGAAGAAGAGGATGTAGGTAGAGGGTTGTGATAAAATCTAGAATAATGTGAAGTAAAAGAAGATAGTGTCTTAGAGTAATTAATTAAGTGGAGCGAAAGGTTAGGGTTTTCAGGTGCTAAAGACAGAGAGGAGATACATAACCTTGTGTGAGTGTGGAGAAGAAGGGCTGCTGTTTGTTCAAAGAAGATTGAAGAAGACTTTGGCGGAAGATCCTTGAAGATCTAGGGCTTTCGAACCCACTCTGATACCATGATAGAAAAGCTTTGGGGGTGGGGTTGGGGTGGAGAGAGAGAGAGAGCGAGAGAGAGAGAGAGAGAGAGAGAGAGAGAGAGAGAGAGAGAGAGAGAGAGAGAGAGAGTAGTACGTACTACTACTACTACGTAACGTACGTACGTACGTACTTACGTTATTACTTAGTTAGTTATAGTTATTACGTTACGTTACGTACGT